AAAAAAAAAAAAAAAAAGAAGGGGTTCGGTGCCTGCAGCTCAGTGGTTAGGGTGCTGGCCACATATACCAGGGCTGGTGGGTTCGAACTCAGTCCAGACCTGCCAAACAACGACAACAACAACAACAACAACAACAAAGACCATTGTGGCAGGCACCTGTAGTTCCAGCTACTTGGGAGGCTGAAGCAAGAGAATCACTTAAGCCCAAGAGTTAGAGGGTGCTGTGAGCTGTGATGTCACAGCACTCTACCCTGTCTCATAAAAAGAAAAAAAAGGGTAATAGGGCTGGACATCTATAGCTCAATGGTCAGAGCGCCAGCCCCATGCACTGAGGCTGGCAGGTTTGAACCTGGCCTGGGCCTGCTAAAAAAAAGAAGGGTAATAGCTTTTTTCCAGTGCTTTTTCTGTATCTGCTGATGATCATGTGAGGGTTTTCTTTTTTTTCTTTTTCTCTTTCCTCTCCTCTCCCTTCCCTTCCCCCCCCCCCTACTTCTCTTCTCTTCTCTCTCTCTCTCTCTCTGGTCGCACTCTGTTGCCTGGACTAGTTTGCAGTAGCTGGTATCATTATAGCTTACAGCAACCTCAAAGTCTTGGGCTCAAGCAAACCTCCTGTGTCAGCATCTCAGAGTACCTGGGATAACAGTGGCATAGGCTCATGCCACGATGCCCAGCTAATTTCTCTATTTTCTTGTAGAGACAGAGTCTTGCTTTGTTGCTCAGGCTGCTCTTGAACACCTGACCTCAAGCAATCCCCTATCTCCCAAAGTGCTAGAATTATGGGTATGAGCCACTGCATCTGGCCCTGGCTTTTTCTTTTTATCGTGTATTAGATTGTGCATTGATTGATTTTTCTATGTTAAGCCAACCTTGCATTCCTGGGATAAATCCTTCCTCGTCCTGGTGCATAATCTTTTTCTAAGTGATGTTGTTTTTGGTTTGCTAGTATTTTGTTTAGGATTTTTCATCTATATTTATAAGGGGTATTTGTCTATAGTTTTCTTCTGATATCTTTGTCTGGTTTTGGTGTCAGGGTTAATACTGCCCTCATACAACAAGTTGGGAAGTGTTTTCTCCTCTTCTGTTTATTGGAAGAGTTTATAAAAGGTTGGTGTTATTTAATGCTTTAAACTTTTGGTAAAATTTATCAGTGAAGACATCTAATCTTGAGCTTTTCTTTGTGGGAATTTTTTAAAATTACAAATTCAATCTCTTGACTTGTTATAGGTCTGTTGAAATCTTCTATTTTTTCTTGAATCAATTTCAGGATTTTTCTTTCTAGGAATTTGTCCATTTCATATAGGTTATCACATTTCTTGGTCTATAATTGTTCATAGTATTCTACTGTAACACTTCCTTGTTTCTTTAAGGTCAGTAGTAATAACCTCTTTCATTCCTGCTTCTAGTAACTTGAGTCTTTTCTATTTGCTTCTTGGTAGTTAAGGTTTGAAACCTAGAACTAAACCTTCTAGTTAAAGTTTGCCAATTTTGGTGATCTTTGCAAACAGTGAACCGTTCTTTATCAATAAGAATAATTATATTCATGAAAATATAATCAAGGAGCATGGGATCATATATATTTACTATATTACTCAGAAAATATTAATTGAATTTGTTTATTGTTTTATTTAATTTTGTGTAGAGACTGGGTCTTGCTGTGTTGCCCAAGCTGGTCTCAAACTCCTGCTCTCAAGTGATCTTCCTGTCTTGGCCTCCAAAGTGCCAGGATTATAGGCATGAGCCATTGTACTCTAAATGAATATGTTTAAAATGATATTACTTAAAATTACTTTTAAGTAAGAGAATAAACTTATTAGTAAACTGATTTTTCAGTAGTTATATGAAAACTGAAGAATGCAGCAACAAGGCAGACAGTAGCGTCTTTGACCTTAAGCCTGGGAGACCCTGCATGTTCTGGACCCCACATTTCCCCTGAGGCAGCATATGCCCTGACAGAGAAGCACAGGCTGCCTTTGGGGCGTGGTCACAGTAGGCTACCCAGCTTAGTGAGACACTGCTGAGGGCCTACAGCCAGCCTTGCCACCTTTATTGCTGCCCCACCCTTTCTGGCTGCCCTCACCCGGATCTGGGGCCCTGCAGAGCCAGCCAGCCTGGTTGGCTCTCATGCTTCCACAGATGAAGGGCCAGCAGGGATGAGGCATGACACGAGGGCAGAGGGAGGTGGGAAAGGTTGGGTGGCCAGGCCTTTCCCAGAGAGCCTGTGGGCTGCATGGCACCTTCCCACTTGTCCCCCCTTGCCTGGCACCCTCCAAGTTTGGAAGGCAGAATACAGGGGTAGGAATGACACCAAGACCACCGCCCTGGTGCATCAGGGGCCCTGTCAGTGCTGCCCCTCATACTCCACCAAGCCCCCAGAAGGTAGGCGGGATGTGAGAGGGAAACTGAGTCCCAGAGGTGGGTCACATGAGGGCCCAGATGGTCAGCCAAGCTCCCAGCTCCACAGCAGTCCCTCTGATATAGCAATAACATCTTTCTCCTTGTGCCCCACAGCATTTCAGAATGGAGCCCTGGGTTCTGGCTGGCTTGGTGGGAAGAGGAAGAGTCCCCTCCAGATGCTCTACGACCTGGACCAGGTACGTAGACCCCCACCCCAGGGATGACTTCCTCTACCCCCAGCCATAGGAACCCCACATCCCCAGTGTAGACCTGCTGTAATGGGGCTGGGTCCATGCTGGAGCATAGCGGGGTTTCCTTTCCAGCTCCAGGCTCTGTCCAGACAGTGGTGACAAGGGCCAGTATTGGGGGTTGGTTGAAAGCCCCACTTACCTTCCCATCCATTACAGATAAAAGACATAAAAGGCAGTGAAACAGCCCCTGGAAGCACTTATTTGTTCAGTGTCTTTAGAGCACCTACTATATGCAGGTGTTCAGGATGTTGAGATCCAGTGGCCAACAGGTTGTCTGGATCCCTGCCTTGTGGACTGGGGCCATCCAGTCATTGCTGCATTGATATATGATCAGCTCTGCTCTAAAGGGGCGTATGAGGTGTAGTGAGGGTGGTACCAAGAGGGACCTAGGAGAAAGCCTCCCTCCTCTCCACAGGGATAGGGGCACTGGAGCTGAGACCTGAAGAGTGAGAGTTAAGAGGTGAACAGTAGGGGCCAAGCACACAGGCAGAGGGAAAGGCTGTGCAGAGCAGAGTTCAGGGAGGGTGCTTGAGGTGGCCCAGAGAGGTGGGCTGTCACCTGGGAGGGCCCTGCTTATGTGGCAAGGGCAATAGGGAGCCATGGACAGTTTTAACTGGGAATGACCATGTCAGATTTCCACATTTGGAGGACCCATCAGACTGCTATGTGGAGAAGAGCAGAGGGGGCTGGGTAGGTGGCTGCTCACCAAATCCCTGCATAGGGAGTGGAAGGGGCCATGGAGCTCATCTTTCACACACACCCAGGTTGCAGGTGGGAGGCCTTGGTTCAGCAAGGGCAACTGACTAGCTTGCCCTGCGCCCCGCACAAAAATGAGGGTGGGCTAGGATCTTAGTAGGGCCCTGATTCCACTGCTCTGTGGACTTCTGAGTGGCTAGTGGCTCCTCACAGCCTGAGGACCCAGTACCCAGTGGGTGTCAAGTCACTGGAGATGTGGCACCTTGCAGCTGGAGAAATGATAGTAATATAAACAGTCTAGCCAACACCACACTTTAGTTCTGTGGCCTGAGCACAGAAACCTCTAAGGTGGGGCTGTCATCCCTGTTTACAGATGAGGAAACTGAGGCTCAGGGAAGCTAAGTACCCTGCAAAGGTCACAGGGTTCACAAGGATTCAGCTACTTAGGAATTAAGGCAGCTGGGAGCTGTCAGGGGTAGCCCCAGACCAGCCGACACACTCCCCTGTCTTGGAGCCCCAGGGAATCCGAGTTGGAGCCCCAGCTTCCTACCTGAGAGCCATGTGACCTAACTCATCTTCTCTGAGCCCATTTTCTCTTCTGTAAAATGGGGACAGCATTGCCTGTGTTGGTCTTCACAGGTCTGTAAACAATGGCAATGCCAACTGAGAACAGTTAGTGCTTACTTCCCAAGATGCCAAACTAGCATCCCCACAGCACAGAAGCAATGAATGGCCTGACTCACCTTCTGGCGTTCTTGCACTCCAGACATTTCCTCATAGGACAGTATCCTAGGCAGCACAAGAAGGTGGAGGTAAAGGGTTTTCCCTTTGGGAGCCCTCACTCTCAACCCTAAAGGAAGGTCCCTCTACATCTCCTTGGCTGGAGCCAAAGCACTCCGTCCTCCCACCCCCCATGCCTTTGCTTTAGCAGAGGTAGGTGAGGTTGTATGGCCAAGCCCTTTAAGGCTGGCATGTGCCCTAACACAGTGGGAGTCTGCTGGCAAGGAGGGAATCAAGCTGACTGGTACATGGATGAGCAGATGTTCCCTGCCCATAGCAATGTGTTGAGTCCCCAGCAAGCTGAAAGCAGACCTTGGCTGTGGGCCCCTGAAGGATGGCCTTCTCCTGGCACTGTGCAGAGCCAGGCTTCTGAGACCAATCCTGATGGTAGAACTAAGTGAGGATCTAAGTGCCCTCCAGCACCCAGTAGCCATGGCTGACCTTGGCAGCTACCTCTGTGATGAGATTATCAAAAAGTGACATAAGTCCATGATGGGGCATTTGACTCTGAGACATACAGTGTCTCATCCTGGCTGCTGTCTCTCACTAATGGTCACTGGTCCCCGGGTGTCTTCCAGACATGGTCTAGGTGTGTAAGTATTGTCAGTGGCCCTGTTATGTGCTCATATTAACATCTTCAAAATCTCACGTACAGTATGTATATCTAGTGTAGTCTCTTTCTCTCTCTTTTAACTTTTCATTATGAAAAGCCAAATATATACATGTACAGAAGTAGTGAGAACAGTCCCAGGAACCCCCATATTCCCACCTCCCACTGCCACCTGAGACTGTTCTGAAGTAAACCCCAACCTGTGGATGCTATAGCCATGTCGTTACGCCTCTCTAAAAGACAGGCTCTCTCCACTTGTCCTTTCTGAAACATTTCTTAATCCCGTCCCTCTGTAAACACAAATGTTAATCCCGGTTCTGAACTTTAGGTTTTTTCACTTACTGTGCCTTGGATGTCTGCAGAATAATGTTGGAGGCATCAGAAGCACAGGTGTGGGCACACACACTTCCCACCCCACTACCACCACTGTTCACCTGCAGGCACTGGGTCTACTGTGCCACCATTTCAGATGCTGCTGTGGTCTCCTCTGAAATGAAAACACCCTGAAGTCTTTTATCTTTTTAAACCTAAGCAATAACTCACAAACATATCCTGATAGGCGGCAAGTGGCAGCATTTTTTCAGCTCTACAGGGAGTTAAATAGAGCAATCGTTCTTACACTGCACCCTACTCTTGGCAAACAGCAGTGGGTGCACGCACGTGATGTGACTATGACTACGCTGTCACACTTCCTTATCAGTGCTAGGAAACGTGATTAGTCTCATCCTAGGTGAGATTCCCTTTTCTCCAAATCCGGGTCCAGGATAGATCTCAGGGCTCCAAATCCCACAGACAGCAGTGACAGCTCTGGGGTTTGAACCTGGCCCAGCTCCCGCCCCCAATCCCTGGGCACATCACACCTGGACAGCGCCAGCGTCTAGGAGCCTGCAGCCGCCCTGTTGCATCTCCCATCCATCCCCTGTCGCCCACAGGGCCCACCCTTTCCCCTGGCCCAGGTGCACCAGCAGCGGCGCGACCTGCTGCGCCGTGCCTGCAGCCGCCACACGCGCCGGCAGCGCCTGCTGCAGCCCGAGGACCTGCGGCACGTGCTGGTGGACGACACGCATGGCCTGCTCTACTGCTACGTGCCCAAGGTGGCCTGCACCAACTGGAAGCGCGTGCTGTTGGCGCTGAGCGGCCGCGCCCGCGGGGACCCGTACGCCATCCCCGCGCATGAAGCGCATGCGGCCGGCCGCCTGCCCTCGCTGGCCGACTTCAGCCCCACGGAGATCAACCGGCGCTTGCGCGCATACCTGGCCTTCCTGTTCGTGCGAGAGCCCTTCGAGCGCCTGGCCTCAGCCTACCGCAACAAGTTCTCGCGGCCCTACAGCGCAGCCTTCCAGCGGCGCTATGGCACGCGCATCGTGCGGCGCCTGCGGCCCAGCGCGCACCCCGACGCACTGGCGCGCGGCCACGACGTGCGCTTCGCCGAGTTCCTGGCTTACCTGCTGGACCCGCGCACGCGGCGCGATGAGCCCTTCAACGAGCACTGGGAGCGCGCGCACGCGCTCTGCCACCCATGCCTGCTGCGCTACGACGTGGTGGGCAAGTTCGAGACTCTGGCTGAGGATGCGGCCTTCGTGTTGGGCCTGGCCGGCGAGCCGGGCCTGAGCTTCCCCGCCCCGCCGCGGCCCAAGGCGGCTGCCGCCTCGCATGACCGAGCTGCGCGCCTCTTCCGGGACATCAGCCCCTTCTACCAGCGGCGCCTCTATGACCTCTACAAGATGGATTTCCTGCTCTTCAATTACTCTGCCCCCAGCTACCTGAGGCTGCACTAGAGTGGGCTGGTGTCCTGGACAGGGGAGGGTCTGTTACAATGCATCCGCTCTGAGGGCCGGGGTGGGCTCAGAGCTCGTACATTTCTGACAAGACCCCGGGAATTCTGAGTGCCACCAGCCCGGGGACCCCTCTTTGGAAACCACTGCAGGAAGTCTTCCCTGGTTGGCGGGCACGCTGGCGAGAATAAGGCCAATCTCCAGCTGCAGGGCCCTGGGAAGCCAGGGAGCGTCAGCTCAGGCACAGTCACACGAGGCCTTTGCTTCCATCGTCCCCGCCTGCGATGCTGTTCCTTCCCAGACCTCAGTACAGATCACACTTGGTCAGGGTTAGGTGCAGCCCACCTCAGATGGCCATACACCTGTGTGCCTCCTTCCTACCTCTGCCTGTCACTTGAGGCTTCCTTCCTCTACCTTCTCCAGTTAACAAGTGCCTCCCGTGGCCCTTTGGCTGTGCAAGAACTTGAGAACTCCAGTGCTTTAGGCTTTTAGAGGCCATTTTGGGCCTCTGAACATGTGCCCCTGAACATGACTGTGGTGCAACAGAGCAGAATGCTGATGCCTGGCTCTGTATGGCCTGTGGCCCAACCCAGTGCCCACCCTACCCCACACACCCTGGCAAGGACAGCCCTGGCCAGGAGAGAACCCCTCCCTTGGCAGGACTCCAGGTCAGGCCTCCCTGTCAGTGAGCATGGTTCAGATGCCAGGTGTGAGCTGTCTTTACCCTGTGGTTGGACAGCCTGGCTTCCTCTCCCCATGGCTGGCCCTGCCTTGGGTCTCAGTCTGGCAAAATGCTCCATTGGAGCCTGTGGTGTAATACAGGGGCAGGTTTTTATAGGACCTTAGTGAGCTGGGGTCACTAATGTTTTTTGAAATAAATGTGTTTTGTGACTCTCACTTTTTGGAGTTTCCCTGCTTCATTGCACCATTGTTACGGGGACATGGGACTGTCTGAACTTGGACAACTCTCTGAGGCTTTGAGCCTGCTGCCCTTGCTGCCAGATGGCATAAGAATGGTTATGGTGGTATGAAGATCAGATGAGAGTGTTCACAGCAGTGAGGGACACATAGGGGATAGGGTGGAAAGGTGGTACCTTGTATGGGACGTCCATAGGGTGATAAGTTCTGGCTGGAGGGGCAGCAGTGACAACTTGGAGAAAATCTTACCTGTCACTCTGACCTTGGCTGAGGATTACAGCCTAGATCAGCTCCGCTAAGGCCTGTGTCATGTACAGCCTCTCACCCTGTGCGGTTATGTGTTGGGTGTGGATGTGGGGACACTTGGCAATGAGCACTGTCTGCCCTTCCAGCTTTGGAAACCCGGCTAGCCATAGGAATTCCTTGGGAAGAACTCAATGTCCCCCTAGTGACTGGCTAAATATATGATGTCCTTTTTTAGTTTCTTTGGGTGATCAATAAAAATGCCAGAACTTTGGGAAGAATAAGGCAAGACATGCTTGTGTTTTTGAGAAGCAAAATCAGAACCACCACCAAGGAGGAAGCTTGGCAGAGATGTGCCCAAAGCCCAGTTGTAGGACCCAAGACAGCCAGGGAGACAGCTCAGGCAGTCCACTGGCTTTCACCATCCCCTGCCTGCAATGCTATCCCTTCCCAGGCCAGTCCTAACGTGCCTCCCTCTCTGGAACCTGCTGTGGCCTTCCGGACACCCCTTTCTGAGCTTCCCTGGGGCCCCTGACAGTGTGGGTCAACTTCAGTGGCTGTGGGAAGGGGCCTGCAGTTGCTGGTTTCCCCACAAAGCCTCCTGAGGTTTATACCTCTGTCCTTCAACGGAGGGCCACCACACAAGGGCCCTGCACCATAACCAAGGCTCCCTGGGTGCTTTGGTTTGAACGTTTGTGTTCTCTAAAAATCAAGTTGAAACTTTGTCCCCAACATGGCAGAATTGAGAGGTGGGGCGCTGGCCCTTGAGTGGATCTATTCATGTGTCAGTGGACAAATGGGTCATCATGGGAGCAGGACTGGAAGGGAAACCTGAGCCAGCACACTCAGCCCCTTCACCATGGGATCTCCTGGGGCACCTTGGGACTCTGCAGTGTCCCCACCAGCAAGAAGTCCTCACCACAGGCAGCCCCATTGACCTTGGACTGCTCAACTTCCAGAAGTTTAAGAAATAAATTCCTGGCTCAGCGCCTGTGGCTCAAGCGGCTAAGGCGCCAGCCACATACACCTAAGGTGGAGGTTTCGAATCCCCAGCCCGGGCCCGCCAA